TTCTCTAGACTTTATTGATTTGTTTGTCAGTTCTATCGAAACTTGTTTTTGAATAGATGTTTGTGAAACAAGGCAGGCCTACTTCTAAATTGGATTGGAGCAATTTTAAAAATGTTATTGTAGAGAGATAAATTGAAACTGGAATGTTTTTCACTGTATTTATTGCACTCTGATATTTTGATTACATTTTTTCCCACCATTTTTGTTCAGAAGAGCTGTGGCTGAATTTAAAGTGTTTAATTTTCCTGAAATGGCAGATTGATTAAGTGGATCTGAACCTTGATATTATTGATTCAAAATGATTTATATGTAATTCAAAGTGATTGTATCATTCTAGCATTAGAAAAATTAAAAGAAATCAGATCTGGAAGAATAGAGATAAATCAGAGGAAGTTGGAAGTGAGAAACCTGCCATGGCCCCATTACCATATGTATAGAAAAGGTTCTGTGGGCTCTCTGCTCATTCATTAGTTCATGTTCATGTACAATCTGATATTAATGGACAAAGGTTTTCATGGCTGGATGATTTCCAAATTCAGTTTTCAGTTTGAAATTTTCAAAGGTATTTTGACATCATCTTATTGGTTTAGAGGGAAACAGGGTTAAGTGGTCATTTCTTAGAAGATAGTGGTGTGAGTGGTGGACAAAGCCACAGGTCAGATGTCATGCGAAAACAACTCTTTATTCATTGATGTCGTATGATTTACGCATCGAAAGAGGTATCAATTTTCAAATTGTTTTGGCTCCGACAGGTGGGTATAATTCCCGTTGGTCAGGGTATTATCAGCCCTCGACCCTCTTAAACCTTCCAGTTCTCACCTGGGACTTAGGGTATTCCAGGGTGTCCCCAACGAACAACGCTATTGGATAAAGAGGCCTGCTCTGTAATTTGATGTGTGGACTCGAGGTTGTGTTGAAATAAGAATTGGTTCTGGAGTAACCTATCGTGGGTATGTGTAATTTTAGGATATTTTTGGGGTGGTGTCAAAAATAGGATTATTGCATTGATGATTGTGGATGGAATCATTGTGATTGGAAGGTTCCGGCTTTCTGGTAGTCTTTTCGTACTGGAGTCACGTTGGATATCTTTGGTTAGAGGAAGTGCCTCGTTCTCTTAGTCTTGTGTCCAGTTTTTGGTTCTTGGAAGGACAACATCAAGACAGTTGGTGAGTTTTTAAAATTTATTTCGTATTGTTGAATAATTAGTAGAAATTTGTTTTGTGATATCTGCATTTCATTTTCTGATGATTTGGGATTTAAATTATCATATATCAGGAAGTAATATCATGTGACTCAATGTCTTTTGTGATAATACTGTGATCGTGGCTTATAAAAAGAATGTAAGCTTCTTACTATAAAAAGCGCAGTTGTGTAAGTAGTGTTGGTAGTGCAGGTGTAAGATCTTCCCTAGATATCCAGGGACAATTTCTAGTCTCATTTTAATTGTTTTCTGTAGAATAGGATATTTTTTTTCTTCCCCAGGCTTGCATGTTAAGAGTCATGCTTCAAAGAAGTGTTGTCATTAGATAAACAGAAGTGACAAAACCGTTTCCATATTAACCAGCAGTCTCTGTGAGAAACCTCTATGCACGATTTATAATGTAAGAATTCATCTCTTCATTCTGTAAGTGCCTTTTTCAAATGAAGTTAGTAAATATGCATTTCAATCAAAATCCTTGTTATGCTTTGGCTTTCAACCATTAGAGGTGGGCTAATCTTTAAAACCGAGCAGGAATTGTTTCGTGGTTATTTTGTTAAATTTATTTCTGATATTTTAATTCCTGTTCTTCTAATTTATATTTTAATATGAGGTGATGTTTCTTAAAAAAGTTATGGAATTATGAATTATTAATATTACTGGAAACAAACAGTAGTTCTTTCAGTAAATATTCTCTGCCTATTCTTGTCTAAATTTGTCCATAATAAGGAGAAAAAATTAAGCCATTCATTAAATTCATGTTCCACTTTCAAATTAACAGTGTCTTAAAATGATGGACTAAAATCAAGAAATTGTAGTTTAAAAAGACATTTCAGGATGAAGCTGTTTATTAATTTCTCTGTTTCTTGTATCACTTCGTAAACTTGTTGCATTCAATGCCCTAAGGTGACTCTTAAAATTCCGTTCCAAGAATGATTAGAGTCGAAGTGAAATTTCACTGAGATAAATGATTAACAAAAATGGTCCTCAGTTCAATTCTCCTGGCTAGTTGGCAATTCTTTTCTCCTCCCTCCTGACAGCATTGCTGCATGTATTGACCGAGATGAAGCATTGCTGTAATGAAGCAATTATGATTGGAGCAAACATTGATTTCTATGTAGTTGATTTGCAGTTGGTAAAGCACACTCTACTCTCTGCTTTTTATCAAAAGAGCAGCGTGTCTCGATTTACTCTGAATTCCCCTGAGTTGTTGGACCTCAGATAAAGGTTGCACAAGTTTGGGTGTTTGTTAGATTGAGCATTTCATCTGTTTTCTGGCCATCACACTGGGAATTACGTTGAGTGAAGGTTATTCCCCTGCTTCTTTATTTCGGAGAAGTTTTAGTTTTCACTACTGCGTTGATAAAATCATTTTCGACCATATTGGTTTGATACATGTCACTTTCTGCTGGCTGCTTCCTGCCGTGATGCTTTCTGTCACTTTTTACTTTGATTTGATAATGAAGTTTTTCTTTTCGATATTAATGAAATATGTTTTTGTGTTAAGTTCATTTGTTCTGAAATGGAATTTACTGAGTTGTTCTTGCGAACACATGATGTCAACCAATATAATCTTTGAGTGGGCAGTGTTGGGAGGAGTTAAGTGGCAACACGTCAGTGCCTTGCTTTCTCATAAAATTCAAAATAATGGTCAAGTTTAGGAAAAGGTTTTATTTATCCTACTGACAAATTTCATGACAGAACAAAGGGGCACATGAAAATATTTAAGGTTAACTTTGCAGTAATTTCCCAATGTTGTTCGGGCTTGTTCAAAGAAATAAGAACCATTTGCTTACTTTGTTTAAAATTAATGGGAACAGTGTTCTGTTTATATGTACTCTTTTTGATTAGTTGATGTCAAGCTTTATTCAAAGTGAACATTCGGGATTTAATACTTCTCATCTCCTTTTAGGAATGTCATCTGTCTTTTATAGATGTCCATCTTGCATAACTTGCAGATACTTTTCAAAACTCCAAAGTTACATTACTTTGACAAATTTCTTTAAAACCCCAGAGTCTGTCTTTGAGAGAAGCCAGTTCTGTTTTTTATGTAGTTTATTAAGAAAATGAAACTTGAATTTGTCAGTTCTTTTTAATATGATGAGAAAAGATGGATTTTTCATGTTGAAGAATTGAGTGGTTGGTTTTCCTGACAGCACAGTGTAAGAGGAATGCATTCAGTTTGAATCTCGAAGCAAATAATTCCCATCAGGATTTTGTCCTCAATGGAAATCTGTGAAAAGAGAATGGGCTGTGACTTGTGTTGGACAATGATGGAGGACAAGGTGGTTGTAGAAGCTCTGTCTACTTAAACAGGTGCTTGGTCATACTTTCAAATGTTATGAATGATGCTGATGCAGATGAACAAAGGCAAGGTGACAGATAAAGTCCTTAATTGTGGTTTCACAGTTGGACACCTGTAGTTTGATAACTGCAGTTGGTAGATGTTAATGTATATCAACTAAAAAGGAGTGTTTGCTCTAAGGGAGAGAATGTAACTAGTACAACGGCTGTTTGACCTTAAGATACGCTTTTGTCATCATGCATGAAGTTTGGACTGTTGTACTAAACATTGTTGTGGGTCATGTCATAGGAAGATCCGTTGTACTTGACATTGTTGTGTTTTGTATTATAGGAAGATCAGTTGTACTTGAGATTGTTGTGTTTTGAATTATAGGAAGATCTGTTGTACTTGAGATTGTTGTGTTTTGTATTATAGGAAGATCTGTTGTACTTGAGATTGTTATGGGTTGCATCATAGGAAGATCTGTTGTACTTGAGATTGTTGTGTTTTGTATTATAGGAAGATCTGTTGTACTTGAGATTGTTATGGGTTGTATCATAGGAGGATCTGTTGTACTTAACATTGTTATGGGTTGTATCATAGGAATACCTCTTGTACTAAACATTGTGGGTCATATCGCAGGAATACTGCTTGTACTAAACATTGTTGTGGCTTATGTTGTAAGAAGATAATATTTTGGGCTGCAGGGTGCCCAATTGTTGACAATGGGTTTGTAAGTCCTTGATTTTGTGCTACTTTCCTGTCATCAGTTGACAAATAGGACGGCGTATCCGTTTGTATATTTTACTGGTGTTAGTACAGCACATGTCATGAAATCTAGGACATATTTCAAAATTAAATTAGATGATGGAAATGATACAAGCACTACCACATCAAGTGATTATGATCCCCATAATGTGGCATTTTGTTCACAGTTATTGATTAAACCTTAAGTTATTAGTGATTGATTAAAGAAAGATGTATCTTGTTTATGAAAACATTGATAACAGATGAGGTTGACCTAGTTCTTGAAAAACGATTTGCATCAAAATGCTGATAGTCGCATGATGCGGACAGTGACCAACATTGGTCAGTCTGTGCACTGAGTTGGGTCAGACGTCCAACCTGGCCCGTTGCTGTGGCAACCGCTACATGCGCCAGTGGTCAGTTTGTATATCAATTTGTGCTATTGATTTGTCTCCCTCCGGGATGCTGTCTTTGAACTGATCTGTCTGTGGAATCAGGTCAGTTGCCCGCCTCGCACAGAAATAAGGTCAGTGATTAACAGAATACTAATCACCTGACCACTCATCACCAGCCTGACCGATATACTCGTGATTGGTGTCAGCGCTTGAAATATTTCACATTGGAATATTTTATTCCACTGATTTGTGATTTTGGTTGCTTGATGCCTATACCAAATTTTGTAATTTAGAGATATATGTTGGTGTGGATGTTTGGTAACAAAAATGGGATTGGGCTCATGAGGTTAATGTAAAAATGTCATAATATTTCAGTATGTTGCATATGGTATGTACAATGTACTTGGCTTGATTTTCCCTATTTTCGTAACCCTTGAAGATTCTGGTTTGAATTGATCTTCAGCAACCCATGAGGCAACTTGCAGCATCTGGTGGTCATCCTTACAGACTTAGTCAATTTGAATACCGATTGCATAGATTGATGTTCGTGGTCAGTCACTGGATTGTCTAGTCGAGACATAATTGTTTAGAGGCCACGTTCATACATCTTGAATACTGTGGATTGCGTGATGAAACAAACAAATATACTTGGTAAGTTTGGCACCATGAGACTTTGGTAGACAGTTTAGCTACTCACATGGACATGAATGTTGATGTGCAGTATGTATAGGTTTTTGTGCCAAATAATATTGACTGCAGGCATGGTAGGTACACAAGGTGGACACGAGAGACACGCCCACACATCCACAGCCATGTGGCCAGGGGACTGAACAGACTGACACCACAGACAATCTGAAGAGACAAGGAGCCAGGCAAATGAAATCATGGCTGAAGGATCAGATATAACAGGACAAAGTCATTTTGCTTAATAATGGGTTAATGTGGATTTTCACCTATAAAAAAGAAAAAAAAAAACATCTAAGGAATGACATGGTTGATGTGATGGTCAGAAGGATGATGTACAGAAGGATGATGTACAGGACAAGGAGGATGTACAGGACAAGGAGGATGTACGGATGGATGATGTATGGAAGGATGATGTACAGGACAAGGATGATGTACAGGAGGAGGATGATGTACAGAAGGATGATGTACGGAAGGATGATGTATGGAAGGATGATGTACAGGACAAGGATGATGTACAGAAGGATGATGTACGGAAGGATGATGTAGAAGGATGATGTCGTACGGAAGGGTGATGGTCAGAAGGATGATGTACAGGACAAGGATGATGTACAGGACAAGGATGATGTACAGGATGATGTACAGGACAAGGAGGATGTACAGAAGGAGGATGTACAGAAGGAGGATGTACAGAAGGATGATGTACAGGACAAGGATGATGTACAGGATGATGTACAGGACAAGAATAATGTACAGGACAAGAATAATGTACAGAAGGATGATGTACAGAAGGAGGATGGTCAGAAGGAGGATGTACAGGACAAGGATGATGTACAGGATGATGCTACAGGATGATGTACAGGACAAGGATGATGTACAGAAGGATGATGTACAGGACAAGGATGATGTACAGAAGGATGATGTACAGGACAAGGATGATGTACAGAAGGATGATGGTCAGAAGGATGATGTACAGGACAAGGATGATGTACAGAAGGATGATGGTCAGAAGGATGATGTACAGGACAAGGATGATGTACAGGACAAGGATGATGTACAGGATGATGTACAGGACAAGGATGATGTACAGAAGGATGATGGTCAGAAGGATGATGTACGGAAGGATGATGTACGGAAGGATGACGTACGAAAGGATGACGTACGAAAGGATGATGGTCAGAAGGATGATGGTCAGAAGGATGATGGTCAGAAGGATGATGTACGGAAGGATGATGGTCAGAAGGATGATGTACAGGACAAGGATGATGTACAGGATGATGTACAGGACAAGGATGATGTACAGAAGGATGATGGTCAGAAGGATGATGTACAGGACAAGGATGATGTACAGGACAAGGATGATGGTCAGAACGATGATGTACAGGATGATGTACAGGACAAGGATGATGGTCAGAATGATGATGTACAGGACAAGGATGATGTACAGGACAAGGATGATGGTCAGAAGGATGATGTACAGGACAAGGATGATGGTCAGAATGATGATGTACAGGACAAGGATGATGTACAGAAGGATGATGGTCAGAATGATGATGTACAGGACAAGGATGATGTACAGAAGGATGATGTACAGAAGGAGGATGATGTACAGAAGGATGATGGTCAGAAGGATGATGTACAGGATGATGTACAGAAGGATGATGGTCAGAAGGATGATGTACAGGACAAGGAGGTTCAATATTATCATGGTCATTATTCATACAATTGTTGATCCATGTTTTCAGTCACCAGAAAGGTAATATTGCTTGGATGTGAAAACCAGGATTCTTCGCAGATGGAGCTGGAAATCATGCTTTTTCGGTTTTGTTATATTTATTTGTCCTAGGACCTGGAAATGGTTTGAATCCCCTACATTCAGTCTGATTGGGCTACTTGTGGATTTCACCACGTTGTTCCTTGTTTAAGATATGCATAAGTTAGGGTTTTATTCATCAACGAACATAAATCTCACAATATAACTAAAAACCTGACAAGGCATTGTTCACTCCCAATAATAACATGTATGAATTAAAGTTGCGAGCAACAATTGACGGCTCCTTGGCTTGGATCATTTCTAAACATTTGGTACCTGATGTCGAAAGCAGTAAAGGTTATAGCTGATATGGATCGTATCATTGTCAGTAATGAGAAATACTTCAGGAGCCGATTTTACTAGCGCTTACTTCAGCTAGACCAGAGTTACGCCCCTTAGACCACAGCTAGAACTTTTACCCTGACCCGGAACGTTCAATCACTGACAATCTTTAAAAACTGCCTAAAGACCTCCACCGCAGTGTAGTTTAATTTTGTGTAAGCGCTAGCTCGTCATTGTCAACTGAAATCGACATCATCTCCCATATCTGCGTGGACCACGCTTTGCAGTGGTAGTCTCTCTATAGGAGATATCGTCCTTGCGCTCTTCCTTCAGACTGTCGCATGCTTTGCACGGGTAATCTGCCGTGCTCGTGCCGTAAATGTCGATGAAACTTATGACACATTCGCAATGTATCCCTGGGCCGTCGGTGATATAAAGAAGTCCCTATTTCGTTAAATCTGCCCAAACTTGGGGTTTTTGAATGTAAGCATTATTTATGATGACTGGTACGTAGCTGAAAGTCTGTTTGCGTCATATTTAGCGTGTTCAGCCTGGAGTTGTGGGTGAGTTTGTTTGGTACTCTTTTTCTTTCATTTGGGGCACGTCTCAAGCGGTTTTTCCCTTTCCCTGCATTTGTGCAATTTTCAATGCCATATGGCCGACAAAACGATCAAACTTTTGATATGCATGTAAGAACCACGAAATGTTAAGCATCTTCTGTTGATGCATACCGCCAAGTTTTACGGCCTTCTGTGCAGAACTTGAGCAGCTATGCTGTTTAGAATGTAGTATCATCAGAATCTGACGCCGAAATCCAATATGGCAGCCAAGCAATACACATTTTGACATGCACCCAAGAACAAAAATGTTTAACACACTTAGTTACTACGTGCTGGCAGATTCTAGCTGCATAGTTGAAATAGTTATGGCGCTTGCGATTTTTGAAAATACATTTTAGTACAAAATAAACAACAGAAGCAAACATCTAGATATCCGTAACTAATCAAGATATCGCAACATAGCTTATGGGCATTAATATTTGAGGTATATATTGTATATCTGCACATTTACAGCGTTCTGCAGTTCATACATTCAGAGTTATGGCTTGCGAAAAATGCCTACCGAACAAAATCTGCAAATTTCGATAAACATCTTCAATCCAATATGGCCGCCGCATCACGTGACTTTTGGCATAGGACCAAGAACAGAAAATGTTCAACAACCAAAGGCCACTTCAGAACAAGCGTTTAAAGTGTTGTATGTGGTGAGTTTCGTTTGGCACAAAATAGCCAAGTAGCCCGTGAAAGTTTTGAAGACAACTTTTGCGCCAAAAGTTAAGTCAATATGGCTTCATCATATAAACACAGGCACATTGGATGTAACTGTGTAGGAACATGCATAGACACAAAGTATACAACGTTTGAAAGCCGTAGCTCTTGTAGTTTCAGTGCAGCACATTTTGGGAGGAAAGTAGTCAGCATTTTGCTTAAAAACATCAACAAAACTTCAATCCAACATAGCGTCCCAAACGGTGCATTTTAGCTTACTTGAGCCGTCCAGGCGATATTGTGAGGCATTTTGATTGCGCATCTGCTCAAGAACTTTGGCAAACATTGGAGCATTAGTTTTGGAGATATTTGCATTTGCATTTGAAATTTTGAATTAATTTTGAATTATCTGCCCTTTGGTATTGGGCCTACAACCTTGAGATTTTAATGGGGAATATCTACACCTCGGTGGGCATCTGGGTGAATTTTTTCAAGCGAATCTGTCCAGCGGTGCTCTCTGTAGCTCTGGTACAAAATCCGGCGGAATAATAAATAATAATAATAATAAAAACATTAACGATTACAATAGGTCTCCTGCCTAAAGGCAAAGGAGCCCTAATGAAACATTCAGTACACTTGGAAACTTACAAAATAACCAGTAGAAAATGGATAGCAGGGTGAAGGTGAGGTGAGGTGAAATTGGGTTTAACGTTGTGCTTGAGCATATTTCGCTCATATGACGACGTGCATGCGTGTGTATGTGTATGTGCGGCTGCTTGTACTAGCCCAGACTTAAGCTGGTTTTATAGTGCTAGCCCACTGAGATACCATGCCACAGTGAAGCATGAATACCCCACTCAGACACATTATACTGACTCTGAGCCGACCAGTCCTTGTTGTACCTATTAATGCCAAGCGCCATGCAGGGACGAACAAGTACCATATTTTAAGGTCTTTTTGTATGACGCGGTCAGGGATCGAACCCGCGACCTTCCGCTCTTTGGGCGGACGCTCTAACCACTACACCACGGAGGCGGTCATAGCAGGGTGAAAGAACACAGAAGTATTGACACATTGACGCAGATGTAATCAATGAACACAGAATGAAAAGAAACTACTCATGACGTGGACGATCGAAAGATCATAATTCCAGATGAACCAAAGGTCTGATTACTGAAGGATGGAGGGAAAGGGTAGGCTGCAAGATGGGTAAATGGAAAAATAAATTGACCCAAATCAAGCGATGTAAGTATGGACAGATGATGGACACAGGTGAATGAACAGATAGGTTGGAAGTGGATAGATCATAGGATCCATGACAAATGGACCAAAGCAAACACATATGTTTGTGAGCTCAGTCCATGCTCTCATTTGTTATCACCTGATCTGGTAGGTGACCTGGGGAAATGCATTAGGTATGTACTCAATACAGTGTGAACTCATTAAAAAGTCCATCGCCCTTTGTTACTGGAACAGATGTTGGTAAGCAGTCATGTAGAAGAGTGTATTGAACACTATTAATTATGCATGTCATGGCACACATTGAGGTTGGAAAATAAAATGTATATACACTCTGAATCACAATTTCATATCAAATAATATTGAATTTTTTCCCCGAAGTATGCACTAAGAAAAACTAATATGACAAACAAACTGAATCGTAGCGATAAAGGTGTCATTAGGGTTGTTTCCACATCAAGCACATCCATGGATCCATGGATACACGTACTTTGTGAATGCTTAGTGCTGTTTAGCATAGTTCAGTTACTGCTGTATCATGACAGAATCTAGCTGAAACCAACCGAGTCTCTCTCAGAACTAATGACATAAAACACATGAATGATTAATTGAGAGGAGATTCCTTATGAAAGTGTTATTATGTACGTGTGACCTGCTTCTGAATAATATTCTACAGATGAGTGGATTTGGTGTTGACCTGGATTTGTCATCCTGTAGGGAAACCATTTGTCCTGTTACAGAAAATAAATGATATCTGTAGCACATTTGGAGTTGTAATGACAATAGGAGGTATGGCAGAGCTTGAAAATGAGTATCAACTGTTGTGGCCTTATTGTCCATTCTAGCATATCATTCAGCCTTTTAGGTACCGCACCACGCGACTAACATCTAACTCACATCGATTTCAAATAATGCATAATGGGCTCGGTAGTTTTGGAAAAGGGTATTGTTTACAAAATGGAATATCGATCGTCCGTGTGAAAACTAATGATTGATAATGAGCAAGCTGACTGAGGACATGTGAACAAGAGGTTTTTGTTGCACACAGAGAGATGGTTTTGTGTGGTTTGATTCTTTTAAGCTTTTGTGACGCATATACGGGGTATTACGCTGTTGTGATGGTCATGTAGAGTGTGTACACGTGACGGGGAGGAGGAGGAGGAGGATCGCCAGGTTATTGTTGACACATCACTCAAGCCCTTCAGAGGTGTGTAGCGTGTATGTTCTCTCAGGAATATGTGGAATAGAGGGCTCAAATGGTAGGACATTACTATCAATTTCACTGAAATTTTATTTAATTGTATGAGTATATTTTCCTTTTAATTCCAGATATTAAAGAAGGCATGAAATTGAATTTTTTGTAATATTTAAAAAAAATTCATAGTTGTCTTCTGATGTAAGATTAATTTCCAATAGTTGATAAAGTACACAACAGTGATATTGAACTCGGAGGGACCGCTAATTTTGTTTGTTGTGACCATAGTTTGTTAAAAGCTTTTTGACCAAATATACTGCAAGTAGTAGACCAAATACACAGTTTGTAATGTCCGTAAGTTGGTCGTAAGCGTGTTGTTTACAAAAGTTAATATTGTAATAAAAAAAATTTTTCATGTATATGAATGAGGACAATTTTTATGGATATACAACTTCTTATTCTGTATACGCGACGTTTCAACATAGATTCTAATGTCGGCAAGCAAGTAGAACCTATTGAATCTATGTCGAAATGTCGCCTATACAGATTAAAGAATTTGTATATCCATAAAAAAAATTGTCCTCATTCTTCATCTCCTCAACTTCTAGAATGCCAGTCAAAGAAGTATTTTCATGAATGTAAAGAATATCGCAAATACATATTTAATTTAACGACCTTTATCTAAAAAAGGACTGATCTTATGAAACGTGCCTCAGTGACGGCCCCAGTGACATGTACTCATGGAGCTGTCTTTCATTTCCACATAACTGGTTGTGTGGGTAGATGAAGGCAGGAGGCATGTCACGCCAGGCTGACCTGATCATTCTTCATACATGATGACCTACTTTCACCGCCTTGTTTATCAATAGCCAGGTGAGATATTGACATAATGAAATGTACTTCCATATTGAACAAGCTGAATATGAAACGTCAGTGTGTGACGTATTGTGTTTAGTTCTCACATTACCATAGCAGGTCAGCAGATATTGTGCCTGCTGTCCGTCTTTGTTACCTTGTTGACACGAACATGCGTTGCCCACTGGCAGTATATATCCTTATTGAACAATTTCAATTCACAATATGCTAATCTGTATTGGATGTAGAATATATATCAATATCCTGCTTTGACCGTGTCAGCAACCAGGCATTTACGCTGAAATGAATGACAGTAAACGGAAAATCATATCCTCTTTAATTAAAAATGAACAACAAATTGAACGTCTATCCTAAAGATTAATTCAGTCCCAGCATTTGTTGAAATTCTCAGCAGCAATGAAGGCGTTGAACTGAAAGGCAGCGTTAAAAACTATCAATAATGCTGCATGTTGCGTTGTCATGCGAGGGAGAATACATTGACTACAGGTTTATTGACTCAAGCAGAAAGCACAGGGACACCGACATGTTGAACAGCTTGGACATGTCATGTGACCAGTGATACAGTGGTGATCCATGAACAATCGGAATATCTCGGTTACGCGGTGAATGTAGGAAGGAGGTCGAACAGCCAGGGCATGTGTGGGTAAAATGGTTCTGTGAGGACAGTTAGTGACAGTGGCCCATTGACAAGGTAGATTGTGTTATCTCATCATGAGGGATTTGTCTCACACATGTTCAGGTAACTATCATCTTACCTGTAAATGTCAGTGATTCAAGACTGTAGTTTATTGGTTGTTTAATATTTTTAATTTGAATTCTGTGTTTTGAAGTTTTGTTTTATGACTGTGTAAGACTGTGACATGTATGGTAAATGTGTGCTCAAGTTATGATTGTATTGTCACATACAAACCTATGACTGATGATACTGAATATAACAAATTTGAAGTCGATATTAGCTTTTTTAACATTATAAGTGTTTCTTGTTTTCAGAGAATTTTTCATTTTATTTATGTTGATAGGATTAAGTTTTAAGCAGCATTGATACAATCATGATAATATCTCTTCCTGTTCTGATTGTTATTGACAGGCTGGTGAATGTTTATGCCTTTATAATTTTCTGATTGGCCGTCCTGGCATCAATAGAAGTACAGATCACAGTTTTCCTGTGTCTTTTGTCTAAATATTGTGATCAGCGTCCAGGAAATCTCTTCTGCGAATTTTTCATGTAATATACGAAATCGTTTAAACTGTATTTTCCTCTAAATATCATGATCAATGTGGCATAAAATCTCTTAGCTAATTTTGCATGTAATATGAAACGATCGCTAAAAGCGGGGAAAAATGGGTTTTTAATCTCCAGTAAAGCAGAGAAAATGGTTTCTTTTTGTATCGTGCTGTCAAGCGAATTCCAACGAGAAAGTAGGACTTTCAGAACACACATATTGACCAGTCATTCATAATGTGTCATGGCTCCATGCTGACTGGAACCTGGAACTGGTCTTAACAGCATATGCAGCAAAGTGCCATGGGCTCTATTGATTTTGTACTGTTTCCATACAACTATCAATATCATACACAATGTTGAAAGACCCTTACTGTATGTTGTTTGCAGCTAGAGACTTTACCCACGCTTGGAGTGAAATTTTATAGTTTGGGACAGTTTTTAATACTTTATTTGTGATCGACTTTACTCTCTGATGAGCTTTGTAGGTCAGCAAAGATGAAAAGTGTGTTTTATTACAAGTGAAGAAAGTGGAAGGTGTGAAACTTCGTTTAATTTAATGAAAGATCTTTGTCGACTTGACACATGGTTTCTTCAGCTTCTTAGCACATCTGTGGAAGGGAAGATTAAACATTTTTTTAATCCCAAGGAGTGATGTTCCTTTGCGGAACACTCATCAAGTCCCACAGCTGTGACTGGGCTAACTTGCCAGGCAAACTTGTTACTCTGTTCCGCTACTGATAAAAACCTGATTGGCATCTCCACATAGCAAGCTGCAGTCAAACATTTAATTGAAAAAATCTTCGTTGGAAATGGAAATTTGTGTGACAGGTTAAGACCATGAAATTGCTGTTGAATGTGGTATCTAAGGGGAGTTTTGTAATAGTTTATAGTCATTAAGTGTTGTTGAGGACAAGTGTGCACATATTACATATATCTTTATGTCAACTTTTAAAGCTTCATAAAGATAAAAAATGATATGAGATAAATTTTATTGTCCATATCCACCCACTTGGCCCATGTACACAGCACAAATTAGACACATTACACATTCTGACAGTTAGAAATGTATGATCAAAGGTCTATGGATAGTCAACTTCTTCACTGCAATGAGTGCGATTATTCGGTGTAGGTACTAACACCGTTATCAAGCAAGTTGTTATAAGTTGACTATCCATAGAACTTGGTTTTCCTTCATCTTTACAACGTATGAAATGCCTCTCAAAGACAATATATGACCAGTAATGATAATATCGAGACAAGAAGATGTAGTATAAACTTGATATTACTTGGGTATGACAATGTCAGTTTTGTACAGTGTTTGACTTTGTATTGATATTCCTAACATCCTGCTGTGTTACTTCCTAATGGTCCGGGGGCGGTGGGGTAGCCTAGTGGTTAAAGCATTGGCTCGTCACGCCGAAGACCCGGGTTCGATTCCCGGTGGGTACAATGTGTGAAGCCCATTTCTGGTGTCCCCCGCTGTGATGTTGCTGGAATATTGCTAAAAGCGGCGTAAAACCAAAATCAGTCAGTCAGTCAGTCCTAATGGTCTGCTTGAAAATGTTGGTTTGTATGAGTCTGGTTCTCCGTACCAATCCAGGTTTTTGTAGGACAATAAACGTTGGCTGATTGAAGTCAAGAAGTCTTCATGCATATATAACAACGAGGGCTAGTTCCATGAGCGATGTGCTTGTAACTCCTAATCTTCAAAATAGAATTACAATCATTGCACTCAGGTTGTGGTTGAATGAGACCTAGCCTGTCGCACAGTCCCTGAACCACATTATTTCCCTATTGCCTAGCCCTGCCTGCAATGCAGACTCCCTAAATGAAGCAAGTCTAGATTTCCTCAGGTTCAGGAATCTCCCAACTCACTGGGGCTCCTTTTCAAATTAAATGGATTTGTTTGTTACTATCAAAATTATATATATTCAGGGACTAAGCGTTAGTCTAAATGAGACCCTACATTGCTTCAGGCTTTCCTTCCTTTTTCAAGGTGTTGTTTTATCTAAGTCGGATTCTAAATTCAGGTTGTCTTGGAGACCTCAGCATGTCTTTCCCTGCTCTCACATAACAATACGACAATGATAACTCATAGCAAATTACACAATTTGTGTTTGAGAGTGATCACACAGAAGCAGTGGATGTGCACATTTTGTCATAAGTGGCAATTTCTCCAAGTATAGACCATACAACAGCTTACCCAAAGGCTAATGTGGCATCTTACTGTAATAGACTAAGGAGAAGCGCGATATTGAACATAAAATGTGTATTTAGATAATTTCAATTGATGATGGAAATAGTGTCTTGGACTGTCAAGTCCCACCAAGTATTTTGGATGACTGATGAGTTGTTGCAAACCATTTGCATCCAGTGATGAATTAAGGAATGTAACTATTCCCAAAAGGAATTATGTTTGGGCCCGCTGATGGTTTAGATGCTTTGCCGTTCCTGCTGATGGTTTAAGTGCATAAAAGGAGCTACAACAAATGACATGACTGGGTTTTTTTTTTCTGATGCCGAGTTGTTTTTCAGTCGGTTGGGGCTTGAAAACGCTCATGCCAAATTTCAGCTTATAACTTCGATAAATGTCGTCCTTTTTCTAGTTTGTCAATTTAACAGGATGTGCAGACATTGATTGTTGCAGTTGGGGAAGACATGGATGTAAATGATATGATTAATCACATGGCGTATGAATGAAGGATTGCTGCGACTGTCAAACATGTTCTTTAAACAGTAACATGTCAATGGGATCTACAAGACTGGGTTTCAAATGACATGAAAATTTAAACATGTTGTGTTTGGTTACAGCATTTCCATCACAGATGCAGTGTGTTCTCATGTTTAATTCAGTACTGATAAATTAGTTCTTATGAAATACGCGGTATGCTTGAAGTGAATTCTTGTGATCTCAAGTGATTCTTTCAACAGATCTAACATGTTGGTTTTTTAGGCACTCTTTTGAGATAAGTGATTATTCTTCAAAATGATAACATGTTCTATGCTGTAACATGCTCAACCAATCAGCAAGTGACTAGCTAAGTCCGTTTTTTGGTACAAGCATTTCAATCTGTCCAACCAGCCTCAGTAGCTTTCAACTGATTCTGAAAGCAGCCCCAGTAAGGCTGAACAGCCATACACTGCAAAATGGATGTTTTAATCTCAGCCCATGCAAGAGCAATCATGCATTGTTATTACGTGCCTGCTACATGCTGACAACAAAAGCAAGATTCCGGTTTTTATGTTGTGGCTGTGACCGAGAAGGTTATTAGGGCACATTACAGTTAGTGTTCGTATGTAGTATTCCTCCCTCGCAACTGAGCATGATTGTTTGTGAACCCTGCTGATGAGGCTTTGAGATCGTGGAAGGTGAGATTTTGCGATAATGTTTGTGTTTAACATTTGCCGATGAAATTTGTGAAATGAGTGCTTAGGGAAACATCATGGGTCAATGGACGTGGGATACAGCCTGTAACTGTTATTCCATGTTACAGGTGGTGTGTACGTGATATATGCATGCAGTGTGTGATATCTCTCTGTGGATATAGCAGGCACTCTTGGTGTAGGGTAGAATGGCATGTTGAAAAAACGGCTGCTGTAAAACTATTTATCATGTGGTGTATAGTGGTTGGCCTCCGATATGGTGTTGTCACGCAGGAAGATAGGCTATTCAACAGTACACTTCAAGGCACAGTGTCATGATAGTTTAGATGTAACAGCAGCCTTTTCTGACATTTAATCAAGATTGTGTTAATGGGTTGTTATTGTGAGGTATGTTTCGAAACTTTTATAGGGTTATGTGGTCTTCATTGTTTCTAGGTTAAGTTTTGTCAATTTGATGGGTATTTTAAGGAAAGATGTTTTGGGGATTTGTTTTGTTGGACTTTCGAAAGGAACAATCATCTGTTTGTAAGCTTGTGAAGTTTAAAAAAAGAATGAAGCTTGTTTGTGTTTCTGTAATTGATGTAGGATGACAAATTAACAGAATTACGTACCCTCATCTACATGAAATGAAGATTTTGTTTAGAATGACTTGTGCCGAAGTGCATCATGGGGCAACATACAAGCACATGTATTTTAGTGTTGTGTGTGGATGGCAAGGGCTGCTGGTGGAAGGACCCTCGTGATCAGCTGGTGTTCAGGGAGTAATTCAAGCTGGTTTTCAGGGATTCATTCATGTGGCTTTCACCACTCTGTTCTTATGTGCCCAGTGAAATCAGTTTGAGCAGATGATTAAGACTGTCTTCTGGCATTGATGCTTAATATTTACCTGCTGTGTAGGTCTGTTCAATCTGTACTCACTGTACTAGAATTCTGGCAGAAATCGCATTACAGTCGCTTTACAGTTAATTAATAATTTACATCTAAAACACCTTCTGAGAATACCAGGAGTTATCAATCTGAATTCTCTAAATACAAGAAGTAAGTCAGTAAGAAAGTTTTTCTTGTCTATGTTGGCAGTTCTACTTTAACGTCTTCACATCATGCATGTAGCCACTGCATGAGCCTGTGGA